CTTACTGTTCTCTCATTGACAAAGCTGAACATTTTATCTACATTGAGGTATTTGCTGGAAGAGTTTTTTTTTTTTTTCCCATAGAATCACAGTTTAGTCAATTTGATAGACCGAGTGGTTAGAGCATCCTATAGAGTGTCATTGAAACAGCCTAACATCTTATGCTCTAACAATGTATTTTGCAACACTATAGACATATCAGAAGAAATATGAAACATTCTGCATAATGTGAGCTGTCAGACAAATAACAGGCACATGTATTGCTCTCCTGCGTCTGATTTGGCACCGCTTTAATTCCCTATTTTCCTTGGATATTTGCTGGAGATCCTGCAGCTGTCTTTGGTCACCTTATCTTACCTAAACAAATAATTACTGTCTGGTGAAAAAAATTAATCCCATATTGGACCTGGACAAACTTATGTAGCATTAAGTAATAGTCCTATTCCCTTGCTCCTGCGCAAATCCACCGTGCAAATCATTAGTGCTTCCTATTAAGTAATAGTTCACATTTGCTCTAGTTTTCTGACTTTCTGTTTGCATCTTGTGCAATGTGTCTCCAGAATCAGTTTTTCATATCAGGCCTTTCTGGAGATGACACAATAAAGAACCGAGTCTTAGAAGCGTTGTACAAGAGGATTTTGCGTGCCCATAACGAGAAGAAAAGTTTCAGGGTTGTTGTTGTTATACCTCTCCTCCCGGGGTTCCAGGTTAAGTTTTCAGAAGACTGTATTCTTTTTCAAAAGAATTTGCCCCTAATATACATTTGTTTTAACTGAATTATATGCCTGGCAGGGAGGAATTGACGACAGCGGTGCAGCATCTGTTAGAGCCATAATGCACTGGCAGTATCGAACCATATACAGAGGACAGAACTCAATATTGAATAATCTGTACAATACTATTGGCCCAAAGGCTAATGATTTTATTTCCTTCTACGGCCTTAGAGCGTATGGTAAACTTTCTGAAGATGGACCTGTCGCCACTAGTCAGGTAATAACTCAATCATCATCCATGGGTTAGATTTGCGCATTGTTGCCTTTTTAGTGATCACAGCACCATATATATAGCTTACCTGTTTTTTTTAAACGTAGCGAGTACTGGAAAATGTGAATACTATATCTTTCTGTCCATGCAGGTGTATGTTCACAGTAAAATCATGATAATTGATGACCGAGCTACATTGATTGGATCTGCCAATATCAACGACCGTAGTTTGCTTGGCTCAAGGGATTCTGAGGTCATATTTATACACGTGCTTTCTTATGTTATGCATCGATTTCTTAAAGCTTATTTCATATTTGACATTAAGGTGAAGATCATTTTAAATAAAAAATATAGTTATAGAGGTAGAAGAATGGAATTAGTTTATGTGAAAACGTTTATCTTTTTGTTAAAGAAAGTATTGGTGCTTCAACATGTTACAGCGGAGTTTATACGTAGAGATGAAATGATTTAATGCTTAATATTTATTTTTGTCTTTTATAACCACATATATGCTAAACATTTAAGAAGCATAACATGCTTGCATGCTTTCTATCAGATTGGAGTACTAATCGAAGACAAAGAGTTAGTAGATTCGCGCATGGCGGGAAAGCCATGGAAGGGTGGCAAATTTTCCTTGAGCCTTAGGCTCTCTCTGTGGTCCGAACACCTTGGACTTCGTAGTGGAGAGGTTTGCATTATATCCTTAAATTGTTTCCCTGCGTGGAAGATGTTTCTACTAATAAGCATAACTAACAGAGTTAAGAAATTTCAGTAAATAAACAAATCTCAAATTTCAAAAGCCTTGGAAAATATTCTTGTACTTAGACCTAATGATGCAAGATAATCTAAGTTTCTTTCAAACAATGGTTGTGACTGAATTGGGTCTTAAGACTCTAAACGCTTCCCGTACTTTTATTACAAGAAATGTGATCATTGGCTATTTGTTTCCAGATTGATCAGATAATTGATCCCATCTCTGATTCAACGTACAAGGAGATATGGATGGCAACCGCAAAGGTTAGAAACGTGATACATATTGAACTTTTTAATTTCACTAGCCAGATATAACCCGCGAGCTTTACATCTCCCAATGCAGACAAACACGATGATATATCAGGATGTCTTCTCTTGTGTGCCCAATGATCTCATTCATTCAAGGTACGATTTTGTTCTGTCTTTTCTTTTTCCAGCTTTGGACACTATCAGTTCGTTAGCTTGAAAATAATTATTTGGGGCTACATTTGCAAACAAAAAGATTGTGGATTATATGGCCTTGGAACATGAAGCGTCTTGAATATATATGCAGAATGGCGTTCAGACAAAGCATATCGTATTGGAAGGAGAAACTGGGACACACCACAATCGACTTGGGAATAGCACCAGAGAAGTTGGAGTCTTACCACAATGGAGACATCAAGAGAAATGATCCGATGGACAGACTAAAGTCGATAAGGGGACATCTCGTCTCTTTCCCTTTAGATTTCATGTGCAAAGAAGATCTAAGACCAGTCTTCAATGAAAGTGAATACTACGCCTTTCCTCAAGTCTTCCACTAAAGATCATACCTCAATTCTTGATCGCGGATTTATTCAATGACCGCTTTACAAGACGAACACTTACATTGCTATCTAACAATATCATCTCATATGTTTATTGGAAAAACTAAAGATGCTTGTATAGGAATATGATGTTGGAAACAGGAGGGAACTCAGAAGAGAAGCCATTTTGCTATTTTTGGTTGCTCTCTTTCGAGGTAAAGAAAGAAGATACAAATCCGTTTCTTAAAGTTAAATAGTTACCATCTTATTTATACATACTTAACTTAAAAATATGTCAATCGACATATGATATGTAATTATGCGAGAAAAGACTGAATAATATAGTGTCGGTGTCGAGATCCACGAGGGACCATGTGACACGAAGGGGTTTGCGTCTTTTGTTGTTTTGCCACTGAATGAAACAACTCCATCTTTGCCACTTGCATCTTCTCGCTGTGTCATATTTTGTTCCGACTGTTTGTATCTATTTGTGTGTTATATATGACTCGGTATACAAAAGAAAATTCAAATATGAAAAAGTAACACCATGTGGAGGATTTGGTGATCAATTGTATCTTTTTACAGGGATATACAAGTCACATATGAAAAATTTAATTTCCATGTATACTCTTTTAGAAAGAGCTTTTCCATCAAGAAATTTATGCAAATATACTTATTTTTTTTAAAAAAAAATTGGTTTTCTACATTGCGACCGTGCATGTAGCATAATTTTCCACCTAGTGCAAAATAATAAAATATTATCTCTTTCTATATTTTATAACTTTATTTCACAACAATATTATTACCACCCACCTAATTAAGTCCGCACTCGTAATAATTATTCAAACTTCTTTTAAAATTTAAAGTCGTAAGCACTGATATCTATGACCTAAGAAATCTAGCCAAGTGGACATGTATAAAATCTAACATATGCAGTAGCTGGGCACATCTATATATTATATTAATTAGGCATAGATATACAGTAATACAAATGTACGTATAAGCGGATTATTTTATTGAAGGAAAGTAAAAAATCTATATACAGTTCATGTGATATATACACACGTAACAGTTGATGCGAGCCCATATTTTTATTGCATACCATATATATATATGTTCAATAATTTGCGTATAGAAAACTGAAAAAGATACTAATGTCATTATGATGTGACCCCTACAAGTCATAGAAAAAGTTTGCAACAATCTTATTATTACAATGCATAACTTGCTTAGCCATTGCAGCATAAAATTAAACGGTATGTAAACAAATGTTATGAAAGTCTAGATTAAGACCTAAAAATTCCGTTATATAAAAATATATCTTTTGATTAATAAGAAATACAATGCATAGCTTGCTTAGCCATTGCAGCATAATATTATACTCAATGTCTCCATTTTTTCATGTGTAGTTTATATAATTTTGTGTACGTAACATATATACCTCAAGGATGTCGTTCTCACTCTTTTTTTTTTTAATTACATTTGAATGATAGGAACGTATTATCTGACTAAGGTGTAATAAAATAATAATTTTAAAGATAAGAATTGTTTCGGATCAAAGGCACTTACTTACCATTAGCTTTTAGATTCGGGAGCCTCTCACAGCCACAACTTTTTACGACAAGTGCTTATTGTTTAACAAACCCCACATGATATCATTTTATATTTCCACCACATTCATTAATTTATATTCAATTTCTTCACATCCACATTTAATCTAGACATTTTACTTTAAAAGTATATACATCTCTATCCTAATGAGGTATTAACCAGCTATAATACTCATATGTCGGTCTTAAACAACTTTATTATTTATCATCAAAACAAAAACAAAAAAGTTTGATTGAGCATTCACTGTGGTTGTGCTTTGTTTTTGTGTTCGAGTCATTTGACCCCAAACATAACATATTTCCATTTTCTTCTCTTTGGTGATTGCGTTGAACTGACATCTTCATTCGCCTAATACTTCCATATGCATTAGCCATTATTTTTAGTAATCTTCATGTATGATATATCATGAATACATATATCATACATGTGATATAGATTCATATATCATTTTCTTCAATCTAAGATACACCCTTTGACAGAATATACATATGTGCATATACCTTTTTAAACTCTAAGATACACTAAATCGACATACGTAAAAACATTACAAGTACTTTTTTACTTGTACATCGATCAAGTATTTATAATTCGCTTACGAGCCTACATACCTAACAAGTAAACAGAAAAGCGCGTCTTCATTTAATAATGATTTCGTAGCTCTCTAGAAGTAAGGATATGTTGCAAGTAAATCACCTTTTATCAATTGGAAATACGTATAGCAATTTGTTATAGCTTTCAGATGTAAATTAACAACAACAAAAAACAATTGTCGTCAACTTTATGCTTAACATATACGTGTCCTTATCGACATGCAAAACGAATTTAATTATATATGTATTTGTACGTGTATATGCATTAAATAAACGGCGTAGAATAGTCGAAGGAGAGAAAGAGACGATGAGTCATACAGACGACTCACCAGCTTATAAGTAGTAAATCCAGCAAAAGGAAAAATATTCAACTCAGAAAGTCCGATCAAGAATATTCACCGGAGAAAAGGTAATTTTTCTAATTAAACCTCCGGTTCTCTTTCTCTTTTCTTCTGTTTCTCTGTTCTTTTAATTTTGGATGTCACTTTCTTTTGTTCTTCTTCATCTTAAGAAGCTGCAAATAATCATGTGTTTATATATACCTAAATTATCTTATCACTTGTTAATACTCTGAACAATTGTAACTTATACATAATCTTATTATATTTGAATTGTAGGATCATAAGAGCATTTGAGAATGGTGCTTTTGCCTGCATTTTTGGACGGGTTTGCAAGAAGCGTGTCGACAAAGAAAGCCAAACATCTATCAGAAGATGAAGATGGAGGGAGAGAGATCGCTAAATCGATGATTAAAGATTCAAAGAAGAATTCGACTTTGCTTGGTTCTTCAGGGTTTGTCAACTCTGAAACCTCCAAGAGATTTACCTCTATTTGTTCTAATAGAGGTGAGAAAGGAATTAACCAAGATCGTGCCATTGTTTGGGAGGTACTCTTAATATAAATACAATATATGTTAGGTAATTTTTTCCTCCCATGAAACTGATTATATAGTAATGATGTCTATGAATAAGTAGGAAAAAAATATAATGGTTAAATGGAACCATGATCTAGTTAGTTAACAACTTATGTATATATGAGAGTTAAAAAACTAAAACTTGTTTTTAACGAATATATATGCATGATATATAGGGATTTGGTTGCCAAGAAGACATAACATTTTGTGGGATGTTCGATGGACATGGACCATGGGGACATGTGATATCCAAAAGAGTCAAAAAGTCATTTCCATCTTCTCTGCTTTGCCAATGGCAACAAACTCTTGCCTCCTTATCGTCGTCGCCGGAATGTTTCTCTCCGTTTGATCTCTGGAAGCAATCTTGCCTGAAAACATTCTCCATCATCGATCTTGATCTCAAGATCAATCCTTCCATTGATTCTTACTGCAGCGGCTGCACCGCTCTCACCGCCGTCTTGCAGGTACCATATATACATATGATCTTGTGACCATACAATTTTTTTTTTTCATTACAAAGCATAACATATCATATCAAATTTTGGCGACTATTATTTGATATATATTTCTATCTAAAAAGTAGCTAAATAATGTTCGAAATTTGATTTTGGATCTATGTAGGGTGATCATCTTGTTGTAGCAAATGCTGGTGACTCACGAGCAGTAATAGCAACTACTTCTGATGACGGTAACGGTTTAGTGCCGGTTCAGCTCTCGGTAGACTTTAAACCGAACATTCCCGGTATATCTCTACACGCCATTAGATATTAAAAATTTATTATTCAGATGAAAAGATTCGATGAAATATGAACTAACAACTGGTATGTCTTTATTCCATGTTAAACAGAAGAAGCAGAACGGATAAAACAATCAGATGGACGATTGTTCTGCCTAGCAGATGAACCGGGAGTGTATCGAGTGGGTATGCCAAATGGAGAATCACTCGGTTTAGCTGTTTCAAGAGCATTCGGAGATTACTGCCTTAAAGACTTTGGTTTAGTCTCAGTACCGGCAGTGACATACCGAAAGATAACCGAAAAGGACCAGTTCCTCATCTTGGCAACCGATGGGGTAAGATATGATCAATATATTCACTTTTAAATCAAAATCGGGACATAGACAAATATTTAATTATATGATAATGTTTGTGTGCGCTTATGTAGATGTGGGATGTGATGACAAACGATGAGGCAGTGGAGATAGTAAGAGGAGTTAGAGACAGGAGAAAGAGCGCAAAGAGATTGGTGGAGAGAGCTATGATACTTTGGCGTAGGAAGAGAAGAAGCATCGCCATGGATGATATCTCTGCTCTCTGTCTCTTCTTTCACCCTTCTTAATTTAGCTGCTCTTTAACCTCTAATACATATATATCAATGTATTTTGAGCTTCAACAACAAAAAATGTGATATATATATATATATATATATACATTTACATAGAATAATAGATGTTGTGAAGAGAGTGGTTGAGACTAGAAATGGGTAAATCAGAGTTTCACCATGTTTTTGTAATTTGGCATGTAAAGGTCATTAGGCGACTCGTAACGTTGAAGTGGCAAACAATGGCAGGCTGAATCAGTGGATCACATGCATAGCTCTGATTAGGATTAGTCTCTGAAAGGAACTAATTAAGTTGAAGTTTGAGAATGGAGCAAACTATGACGAAACATGACATCAATTAAAGTAAAACATATGCAATTAAAGATTGAGTTTTGTAATAGGTAACAGCGGTTTTTAGAGCTGCATGAAGATAATAATGAAAAACTATAACAGAAGGAAGAAAGGACAAAATTTGACATAAACTCGCCAAGTTAATCAGCAATGATGGGCTAGCTGCATCACTCAGATTTTTTGGTTTCTGGGATTTTCAGAGCACCTTCGTTCACCAACACTTGAAGCTCTTCCTTGGCCATCTCACGCACTTGAAGATCTTCAGTCTCTAGGAAAGCAGATATTATCTTTGAACTGCAGGAAAAAAAAAAGAGATTCAACACAGATTCAGATTTCATGGACTTGCTTGTTTGCAGAGAACTGGGAGTGATGATGCTAACCAGTGTCCTTGAGCCCACAACCGACAATTTCCAGACAAGGCCTTCTTATAGAGAATGGAAGCAAAAGCAGGGCAATCCAAGACAAGCCTTCTTATGGTTCTGCTTGAATGAAAGTCTTCCAGGATGTGCTCTGACTTCTTCTCTGGTTCTTGGGTTTTCGGCATTGCTGCTACAGAGGCAATGGCTTCGTACAGCTCACGCAGCTTCTCGCTCATAGATGGGCACAGAATACCATCAGCGCCTCCCATTGCAACCTGATACGAGATAAACGTGAAAATGGGGAAAACAAGAGAATAACTGAAAGCAAGAAAATCATGCCAATACAGAATGTGACAGTTGGAAAATATGTTATGAATGGAGATCTGGGCGTACGAGTATATACCCTAACAAATATGGTGTGATTGGTATCTATAAGTTAATAGTTACATGATTTTGTTTCTTGCCTGGATATCAAATACATTTGTTATGAAATTGCTATAAGAACTTTTCTCTCCCAACGTTTTTAAACCATCACAACAAAAGATGCAAGAAATCAAAACTCAATACCTCATACATGACCTCTTTGCCAACGTTTGACTTGAGGAATTCCTCAGCGTTCTCCATACACACATCAATAAGCCTCTGTCCAGAAAAATAAAGAATGTTCCATGAGAGGTAATAAGACTGAAGCTGGAACATTTTATGAAAACAGCCAATAATCTGAAAAACTAGTCACCACATCACACACACCTCAGCAAGGCCACTGTTGACTAGCAACTCCTGCCTTCGCAAAAGGGGATCTTTTTTACTGGCTGCAACAGTGACCTTTTCTTCAATATCTGTATTTTCAGTTACTGTGTCTTCTTGTTCATCTTTCAACTCCTCACCAGATTCTTTACCATCTGAGTCCTTTGTTTCAGAGGATGTCTCTGACTTATCCTGAAAGTAAATGGTAAAGATAGACAGGTCTTATAATCCAGTCTACTTCCATAAGAAAGAATACTGCTAGCATCTTGGTTAGGTAGATAGTTAACGTCATATCATCATACCATTAAGCACAGTGATGGAACAGAGAGATCAAGAGACGCCAAATCATCGTGGCTGAAATAACGTGAATAATTTGGATGAAGTAGCTGCAATAGTGGTCTCCTACCATTCTGCAGGCACAATTTCGAAGCCATACATTAAGAGAAAATATTAATATTGGAAGAACTCAACGTACTTGTCATAGAAAGGCCTAAAGAAAGCAAAGAGCAGAAATCCAGACCATATCACGGAGCCGGTAAAAGGTTAGATGTCATCAGACCAAATAAATGAGACTAAGTATATTATCTTAGCCTGCTTTTAATTATAAAATGAACACAAACCTTTTCCATAACAAGATCCTTTAAGGTGGCCTCAAGCTCACGAACAATCATCTGTGCATAGTTGAACAAGATTTAGAACATACGAGTATCGAATCCAGCAATCTCTTATTTGGTTTAGGGGAACTACCTTGGTCACTAGCTTTGTGTCATCAACTATAGAAAAAATACATGCAAGAACCTGAGAACACAAAGTAGACAAGAATTTATCTGAAAAAATGATTATAAAGCAGCAGTGAAGCACTATAAGTGGTAAGCAAAACTCTAAGAAAAAAAATCAAAGGTTTTCTTACCATACTTCCAAACTGATCAGAAGCCATCTTTGCAACATGATCTTTCATTGCTTTGATAATCTTCTTTCTCTCCTGCAAAGAATATGATTAAGAAAGAGCAGAAGTTCAGTTTACAGTTAATATGGATATCTCTACCGATAATTATATGAACTCGAGGTCAAAATAGATGTCAACCATGGAATTTATTTATAAGATTGTTTGATATTTACATTAATATCACGGATTACAGATACAACCATTAGGAAAAGTATGAGTAGTAAATCACTCGTATTATGAGTTGACAAGTAAAAAGAAAAAGGATAACTAATACTATAAAAATAAGAGAATGTGTACCTTGGCGCTTCCATGTTTGATACAAAGCATAGCAAGCCTAGAACCATCACGGGTATGAACCATACGTAAAAGAAGGGGGCCTGTCAGTTGCTGAATCACAAATGCAGCAGATGTCTGCCAAAAAAAAAAAAAATCATTTAGTAAAAATAAGAAAATTGTAAAGCAAAACAAATTTTAACTCCGAAACATTCACATTTTTTTTATTTTTTAATACCTTATCAGCAATTGTCAAGTATTCAATCAGCAATTTGTGTATGATAGAGTGGTCAACAATTCCCTTCTCAAGAATTGGTTGGATAATGCCAGTCATGTGTCGAACAACAGTGCCTTTTTGTAGCCCTCGCTTAGCGATGATGTCTACCACCCTAAATCGCATTGAGTAACTCTTAATATTTGATCAGTTCATCACAAATAACATCAATGAAAACTAAGGAATTCCAAAAACGTACGAGAGTCTGGCTTCTCCATTTATTGAATAGTAGAGTTAGACAAGGAAGATCACTAAAATTTTACCTTTTTTCGGTAGCTGAGGTCAAGCCCTTGAATAACTGAAGCTCTGGAGAATACAATTCCCCAAGGAGTTCTTGTTTTTGTGCTGCAGTTCCCAGATTGTATGCATACTCCACAACTTGGGGACAAGTTAAAATCAAAGAGAAAGTGAGCTTCGAAAGAAATGGCGGATGCTCTGCGGCATCTTTATAGAACATACAGGACTTGTTTGTGGAAGTGAGTCGTCCAAAATTATAAATGTCGAAACATCAGTACTCCACATACCAATAGATCCGACCATGTGACGGAGGAGGGGAGCCACGTGTCTTCGGAGGCTGGATATATAATCTGTCAGCTGCTGCTTAGATGCTGCATAATAAATCACTTAAATTAGTTGACTGCATAAGCAAGAATACAGTTCGGCTTGAAGTTAGTTCTTACCTCCATCCAACATCTTCTTTAACAAGTGAACAGCATACGTATTAGTAGCCAGGTTAAGAAAGTGTGGTTGTAGTTCTTTGAAGACAGCTTCCTTTTCAGCTTGTGAGCAATACTTCACACACGTCTACGTAACATAAGAAAACAACAGGTCACTACATAGATTCTTTGGAATTTGGCAACCTCTTTTCACAGAAAGCAACATACAAAAATAAACACACCTGGAGAACACGAGATGAAAGATGAGAAACTGCAATCTCTGGGATCTTCCCCTTCATCTTCTGTATAGCTTCCGATATGAGCCTAATAAGTAAGTTTTAAACCAAGAATAAGCAAACAAGTATAAGAAAAGAGCGTTTTTAATCAAAGAGTACATATAAGCATTCTTTATTGGATACTAACTTTGATCGATCTTCCTTGCCAATGTCACGGCGCCTCATCTTCTCCCATAGAGATGCAAGCTCCTGATATGAAGAATGAAGAGTGATTAATTCCGCTTGGAAAGAGTGAAAAAAATTGTTGATCAAACCATATTATTCTAGTTTTAAGCTTGAGGTATACAATTTTATCAATCCTAATGTTACAATTGAAGTGAGGAAAGCTAAAGCCAGAAATCTCAAGTACAAAAAGCTACATACTTGCTCAAGAGTGTAATGTGGTTTCCTCCTCTTCTTCCTGGCTTCTGTCAGCTCCTGCAACCCAAACAAAACACATCAAGAATCAGAAACCAAAACTACAATTCAAACTTTTTTAATCATCGGACATAGGTTCCAAATCCAAATGTTTAACCTTAGCCTGAACACGACGCTCCTTCTTGGACAACGTAACACTCTTGTCTTTGTCTCCAAAAGATTTCGGTTTACCAAATTTAGGTTGTTCAGGCTTTTGATTCTGAATGGTATGGCTTTTCTTGTCGGGAGTAGACGACGCCAACTTTGGCTTCTTTGATTTGAGAGCATTGAATTTCTCAGAGCTTTCGCTATCCTTCCTCTTGGTCGATTTCTGCATTTTCAGTCCCGTGGAAGCCATTGTTGACAAACTTCCGTTTAGCTGCAAAAGTGTAGAGACAGACAGGGGTTTTACAGTTCTAGGGTTTTGGAGTACAAGAGAGAACGGCGATACCGCTTTGTTTGGCGGAATTAACGAAAGTACCAGAAAAGGCTCCGCGTCCTTTGAAAATTACACTTTTGCCATCACCAAAAACGGTCCGGTCCGGTCCGATTTTCTGATTTTCTATTTTTTGGTTTAAGTTAAAACCAGATAAATTTGTGTTCTTCTACCAAAACATTAGTGTTCTTCCCTTCATCCATTCAGAAGCATCTCTATATGCAGCCATTGATTTATGTGCCCGTGAAAGAGGTGGAACCATTGTTATATAGTACCATTTAGAACGGAGACCATGGGATGTTGATTTACAGAGAGCAGATATTTTCAATTCTGTTTAAAGCCTCTTTTTCCTCTGCTTTTAAGCTCCTTCAAAAGTCTCAATAGAATTTGATTTCTGTAAGAAACATGGTGTGAAATGCCTTTTAGGCTAATTAGCAGAGTAGCATTGCTAAATAGAGCTTCCAAGGAAACGTTGCAGGAGCCAAACAAGATCTCAATTTTTCACATACAGTATTTTGATTCGATATCCATTAGAAAAACAACAGGATGAAAACAGAGTAATGAAAGCATAGGTCATGTTGAGAAAACAGATGCCAATGGTAAAGCACTCATTGTCAAGATACAGATTAGTGATCAAAGATTACAAAACGGAAAAACAGTAAACTGTACACAGGTTAGGCGTTGTTAATGGGACTGGTTTAATAAACAATCTGGTTCCTCTTCCTTTTGCTTCGCCGTGCAGGTTGCTCCATTTGCACTGAGCTCGGTACATAACAGCAAGCAAGTGGCCAACAGTTATCTTCTCTAGATTCGCCAAGATCCAATTTTTTGTGGTATCCATTATTTCCCATGATGTAAGCTACGTTGATAGAGATAGGCAAAAAATTGTTTTTATCAAAAGCCACCGCAACTTCTTTCTTCTGGTCAATGAAGAAACTCACAGCGTTACTTAGAGGTCCCATGGTGTCCACCTCTAAGAACAACTTGCTCCAAGACACGTCTTTAGGCTCAATCTTAGTGGTTACCCAAATCTCCACCCTCAATGTCCCCCTCCGTTGTAGTAACACCGCAAGCTGCTCTTCTCTAACTCTAGAGAAAGCCAAAGTATCGTCATAAGTAGCGTGAAAAGGCAGATTCATATGCGGTCCAAATCTCTCTGTTGTGAAATCAAAACAGACCAAGAAACTACGCCAATGTAGTATATCTGCTGGTTCGAGCTCACCACACCAGTAAGTGTTGCCCTTGAGAGATACGCCGCGTTGATTGAAGTGTATATAGCAGGTGGGAGTCTCACGAAGAACCTTCCATGAACTAGACTTTAAACTGTATATTTCACACTCACGGATCGGGACTCCAACTCTACTCGTATCGTATACATCCAACAATCTCAAGATTTTGTGGCGACGAAGCGAGCCGTTCTTCTTCTTCTCCATCTCGTACCCGAGAGCATACCTGTCATAAAAGCAGTACGAAGAACTTCTGGGCTGTTCGATCCACCTTGTTTGACCACTATAAGGGTCCCAAACCACAAGCCTCGAGTCCATGTCTTCGGTGACGCATAGCAATAAACCGTCGCAGTGAAAGACTCTAGATATATCGACTTGATGATTTGCATCGTTTAGGCTGATGAGTTTAGCTAGTTGGTTTATGGAAGTATCGAAATTGTCAAGACTGACGCTCGTTAGATAAACCCTAAAATCCATAACCATGATCGCCAGGAACTCATCCTTCTCCGCTGCCGATTTTTCTTGATCAGCGATGTGTTTCTTTCTAAAGGTCTCGTCTTTCATTAAAGTATTCCACTTTTTGCAGGTAGATCGCACTGATCTCAGAGATTTCAGCGGAACCCTAGAGAGCACCTCCTCTAACACATCCCGTGGAAGATCGGACATCGTTACCGTTGATTCTCCCATTTTCCAATTTAGGTCAACGCTTCCTCAACTATTGGAAATTTTGTTTTTCTCCGACTTCTTCCGGCGGCTATGATTGCGATTGCGAATTGAAGACTTAAAAACCAATTGGGCTAATCGTGGGCTTTAAATTTACTGGGCTTCTTAATGTGAGAGTAATAATGTAACAAAAATATCAACAGCAAGACACACATGATACGATATGGATTAAAGAGTTTTTGTTTAGTAAAATTACAGTTTGGAATTTTGTCTTACACTTCATACTCGGGAATTGTTGAGCTCGATGGTAGGCAAATGCAACACACGTTTCTAATGAAGAAGAGCTAGTAGCAACTACCAAAGTCAGTTTGTTTAGATGTGGACAAAGATGAGCTAGTAGCGAAAAACACAACAATTCGAAGCTTTTTTTTTTTTTACACGTTGGTTTCATATTTAAAATATTAAATGTTTTTTAAAAAATCTATGAAATTGTATGTCTGATTGTTAATGTTTTCTGTACCTACAATTGAAGCATGGAAGTTTATGATGAGGAGAAGTTTTGTGATTCGACTAATAGGGGAAATAGTTCATGGGTTTTTACCAAAGCCTCTTTGCAGGAAAATCATTATCTTGACCAGAGATTTTAGATCCTTTGAACTTAGAAGGAAAAATCCAAAATAATAAATAAACTCGTAATGTGACTGACGATACTCAAAGTTAAGTCGAATATTATTTTCGGCAACCCAGTATTAGTTCATTATTAAGTTTATTTTTTAAAATCCAACTCTATATTTTTGTTTTGTTTTTAACTAGTAAATCTTACTTATAAAAATTGCATATATGAAAATACCAAATCTGTACCAAGATCTCTTTTTTCCTTCTAAAAACATCACTGTGCATATACTGTAGTTGTTAATTACACTAGTAATAAAATTCGACCAAAAAAAAAGAATCAAGGAACATACTGTATGTAGTATTTAATTAGACTAATAATAAAATCATTTGTAGAATCAGACGACAAGTATTGGCTCGATTTGGTAGCAGCCATTAAGCTGTAGCTTTCAACAAGTAAAGCGAAAGGATCTCGTATTTCTCACGATAACTCGCGGTCCGAAGAAAAATACGAGATGAACGGGGATATCGAGACCACGTCATTCCCCCTGACAAGGTAACAACATGTGGCGGACGCCAGTGAACTCTGCTCAATCCAGTTCAATTCCAATTCTCGAATCCGCGTGACCTATGCCACTTAAGAGTAACAATCATCTACTTTGCAGCCCATCTTTTTATTCCGTGAAACTGAATCACAAGCTGACACGTATTATAATAAGCCAATAAATCTGAGAAGCGCTTGGATTCATTTTTTGCTTCTCTTGAGCTGAAGCGCATCAGATAATATCCAAGCAAAGGGATCAGACCAAACAGTGTAGACCAACGAGGTTATCAGCTTATATAGCTATCTTCGCTTATCAATGATAAACTAGTTAGCTTATCAACCTACAGTCTGTGTGACAAAACGCATCGAAGAAAGTGGAGAACAAGTCGTACTTTTTTCTTTTCTTTAAAAGAGAAAAACATAAAAATTATAAATTGAATTTTCTATCTCTTTCCCTGGGGTCAGCTTTTTCTTCTTTTCGTTGTTGCGACGCGAGGAAATGGAGAACCAGAAAACCCTAGAAAACCATTCCAACTACGACCAATCGATTTGAGAGACTTTGACCTAACCGTCTTCTTTCAAGAATTACTCCCCAGATCCCCAAATCTTCAAATTTGTTCTTGGCTCTGAGTGTTTCAGGAAATGTCGTCTCTGAGCAGAGAGTTAGTTTTCTTAATCCTTCAGTTCTTAGATGAAGAGAAGTTCAAGGAATCTGTTCACAAGTAAGCCGAGTTGCTTCTCTGTTTTTTTCTGGCGCTAAGATTTGTGTCTTATTTTGTTTGGATAATTTTGAATTTTTGGTTGATGTGTGGGTAAAGGCTAGAGCAGGAATCTGGGTTCTTCTTCAATACTAAGTACTTCGAAGAGAAAGCTCTTGCTGGAGAGTGGGACGAAGTGGAGAAGTATCTCTCAGGCTTCACTAAAGTCGATGATAATCGATACTCTATGAAAATTTTCTTTGAGATCAGGAAGCAAAAGTACCTCGAAGCTCTAGATCGGTAATGATTTTTTCTTTTCTTTTAATTGTTGCTTGCATATAAGATAATTGTTTTTGATTGATGATGATACATTTGTGTGTTTTATTCAGAAATGACAGAGCAAAAGCTGTTGAAATATTAGCAAAAGACTTGAAAGTTTTCGCGACGTTTAACGAGGAACTTTACAAGGAAATCACTCAGCTTCTCACTCTGGAGAATTTCAGGTAAGTTTTGCTTTGCCTTAATATAATCGAAAATTTTACGAAAGTCGGACACTTTAAGAGTTGAAGAGTGTCTTTATTGTTTCTATAAGGGAAAATGAGCAATTGTCGAAATATGGTGATACGAAATCAGCCAGGACCATAATGCATACTGAGTTGAAGAAACTGATTGAGGCAAATCCTCTGTTTCGTGAGAAGCTAGCCTTCCCCAGTTTCAAAGCTTCCCGCCTGCGAACTTTGATCAATCAAAGGTCAACTAAGATCCGTCGTATTTCTTTCTTCTTCCCTCTCTTAAAAAGATAAGCTAACTGTTTGATGCTTTTTCTCTTTGGGGGGTGAAAAACTGCAGCTTGAATTGGCAGCATCAGCTATGTAAAAATCCGAGGCCTAATCCTGACATCAAAACATTGTTCTTGGATCACTCTTGCTCAGCATCAAACGGTGCTCGTGCCCTCACTCCCGTGAATCTCCCAGTTGCTGCTGTTGCAAGACCTTCAAACTTTGTTCCTCTTGGAGTACATGGTGGAGTAGGATCACTTACTTGCTTCTTCCACCTACTCTATCATTATAACTTTTATGTTTGGATTATGAGTGATTATTGATGAAATCGTTATATCTGTGCAGCCATTTCAACCTAGTGCTGCTCCTGCTCCTAATGCCAATGCTTTAGCTGGATGGATGGCAAACCCAAATCCTTCTTCGTCAGTCCCATCTGGTGTTGTGGCTGCGTCACCATTTCCTATGCAGCCAAATCAAGGTAGATTTCATGTACCATGTGTTTTGATATTTTTTCCTTCCTTTTCCATATAATGAGGTTTGATCTAAAGACCTGAAATTGCATATTGTCATTACAGTTAATGTTCTGAAACATCCTCGAGCACCGTCAAACTCTCTAGGATTGATGGATTATCAAAATGCTGACCACGAGCAGCTCATGAAACGTTTACGGTCTGCACAAACTGCTAACGAGGTGATTGCCTTGTCCTTTTTTTGAAATGCTTGTAAGCAAAAGAAACTCTTTTCGCTTTAGAATGTTTGTGTTTGATGTTGAGTATATGAATCTGCTTTTCAAACCGCAGGTCACGTATCCTGGTCATTCTCATCCCGCTGCGTCACTTGATGACCTCCCAAGAAATGTTGTGAGTACAATGCGCCAAGGGTCGGTGGTGATAAGCATGGACTTCCACCCTGCGCATCACACGTTACTCGCTGGTTAGTCTATTGCTGCCATTAAGAGCTTAGTGTAGTTGATCTTCTATTTGGCTCGCATTTGAACATGTGTCTTGCTTGTAGTTGGTTGTTCAAGCGGCGAAGTTACCTTGTGGGAAGTTGGATCCAGAGAGAAGATTGTCACAGAGCCTTTCAAGATATGGAATATGGCTGCTTGCTCTGTTATCTTCCAGGTTGGCCTTTTTCTTAATTAGGATAAACTCCGAGAACCCTGCTTCAACAAGAAACTAAAGCAGCCTCGAGGGACTTATGTTCTGTTCTGTCTTATGATGGCATATTCACCCGATTGTTTTTCTTATTAGGGTTCTATTGTCAAAGAACCATCGATATCTGTCACTCGTGTAGCATGGAGCCCAGATGGAAATTTGATTGGTATGCTATATAGAGATTGATCTCGCCTAAAAAGATGTTTCAAAGCTTTTCAATCAGACACAAAGTTTGAACATGTGTATCACTTTCTGCGTACAGGGGTTTCTTTTACTAAACATCTGATCCATGTATATGCCTATCAAGGCTCGGACCTACGCCAACACCTCGAGGCATGTTTAATCTTCTTCTTTTTTACTTAGTTTTTTTTGGTCTATGTGGCATCTGCATCAAACTTTATTAAATCAATTTTTTTCTGTGTATTAGATCGATGCTCATGTAGGCTGTGTGAATGACTTGGCGTTTGCTCACCCAAACAAGCAAATCTGTGTTGTGACTTGTGGGGATGACAAATTGATTAAGGTACGCGACGATCATGACTCTAAATTCCGATTTTTATTTTCATATCTAACAATGAGATATCTTTTTAGGTGTGGGATTTGAGTGGGAAGAAGCTTTACACCTTTGAAGGCCACGAGGCACCGGTTTATTCCATTTGCCCTCATCAGAAGGAAAATATTCAGGTTCAAGCATCTCTTGTTGCCAAATCTTCATTATTCTTTTCCTTTCATTTTCTTGTGACTTATTCTTCTCTTTTTACTATGCAGTTCATATTCTCAACTGCTCTTGATGGTAAGATCAAGGCTTGGCTCTATGATAATGTTGGTTCTCGGGTTGATTATGACGCACCTGGACAGTGGTGTACAACGATGCTATACAGTGCCGATGGAAGCAGGTACAGCATTCATTTATAAGTCGAAATCTTTTGAAATAGTTGATACATAGCTTTAGAGTGAAGCAAACATTTGCTGTGATTTCAGATTATTTTCTTGTGGAACGAGTAAAGATGGAGACTCTTTCCTTGTCGAGTGGAATGAGAGCGAAGGTGCACTAAAGAGAACATACCTAGGATTTAGGAAGAAATCCGCTGGAGTTGTTCAGTTTGATACAACCCGTAACCGTTTCTTGGCTGTTGGTGAAGACAATCAAGTAAAATTTTGGGACATGGACAATACAAATCTGTTGACAACTGTTGAGGCTGAAGGAGGACTTCCGGTATGAAAATTCTTGCTCAACCCTTTCCTCTTTGGTCTCCTCTCGTATTTTCCCGGCCATGTTGCTTTACTGATAGTATGTACCGCTTATTATCAGAGCCTTCCCCGTTTGAGGTTCAACAAGGAAGGGAACCTTCTTGCAGTTACTACAGCAGATAACGGATTCAAGATACTTGCAAATACTGATGGTCTTAGAACCTTGAGAGCATATGAAGCTCGGTCTTTTGAAGCATCTAAAGCTTCCATTGAGATGAAGGTTGGGATATTACCCCTTTTGACGCTGTTACTTGAAATCTTTTTATTACTCGTGCCTTTTTGTACAGTTTTGAACTCTCAAGTGTCAATGCCGGTTATTAGGTATCCACCTCCGCGATGGTTTCAAGCATCAGCCCAGCTATTGGTAAAATTGAACACATGGACACTGACTCTCCTGCAAGGCCAACCCCAGTTCCTGTATGTTTATTTACTAAGTAGATCTTTTTTGATATATGTTCTCCTAACTCAATCAAAAATCCTTAATTTATGGACTGATACCTTGACTATTTAACTTGGTTTTGTTTAGTTCATAATTTGTTGCAAATATTATTTTCTTGACGTATGCAGAATGGAATTGAGGTAATGTCAAGAACTATGGAAAAGCCAAGAAACTTGGAATCTGTTGATAAGTCTAAAGCTTTGGAGCTCACAGAAATTGTTGATCCCACTCAGTGCCGACAAGTGACCATGCCAGATAGCAAGGATTCTGTTAGCAAGGTTTTTTTTTGCTGTCTCAGCTTGAGACATCCCGTCAATTGTTGTGTTCATTAATAAATATTCTTGGAACTAATCTTCTGCTGCTTGTTGTCAATTCTAAGGTTGCTCGACTTCTTTATACAAATTCGGGTGTCGGCATTTTGGCTCTCGGAGCAAATGGTGTCCAAAGACTATGGAAATGGAGCCGCAATGAGCAAAATCCAACTGGGAAGGTGATTACCTTAAACCCTTTAGATGTAGTCACTTTTGTAAGCTCTTTTGCATAAGTGGCTGAAACTTTTCATTTGAAAGGCAACCGCTAGTGTAACTCCACAGCATTGGCAGCCCAACAGTGGTCTCCTAATGGCAAACGATGTTCCCGAGAATCCTGAAGCAACTGTTCCTTGTATAGCTCTTTCTAAGAATGACTCATACGTAATGTCAGCTTGTGGTGGAAAGGTTTCCTTATTCAATATGATGACTTTCAAAGTAAGCAGCTTCATAATATCTCCTGAGCCTTTGTAAGAACATATCAGTAAATATGCGAGCTAAATCTCCTTTATCACTTTTTATGTTAACAGGTAATGACAACTTTCATGCCGCCGCCACCAGCTTCAACGTTCTTGGCGTTTCATCCGCAAGATAATAACATTATTGCAATTGGAATGGAGGATTCGAGTATCCATATTTACAACGTCAGGGTAGATGAGGTAATAATACATCTCTTTGATTCTGTGGTTACTGATTTTTAGAAAATTCCTTGTGTAATTACTGACTCACCTCTTAAATGATGTAATCTATAGGTGAAAACAAAGTTAAAAGGTCATCAGAAGCACATAACCGGTCTAGCATTCTCTACAGCACTCAATGTTCTTGTCTCTTCTGGTGCAGATGCTCAGGTAAGGCAAATTTCTTGTTCTTTTCTTCAGATGCTGTTGAAGACATGTTAGCTGTTTAACTTCAGTGACTCTTTGCTTTCTCTTTACAGCTCTTCTTCTGGACAGCTGACTCATGGGAAAAGAAGAAATCTTCAGCGATTCAGCTACCACCTGGAAAAGCACCAGTAGGCGACACACGTGTTCAATTCCACAACGACCAAATTCAGTTACTGGTTTCACATGAGACACAGCTCGCCATTTACGATGCTTCAAAGATGGAATGTATACATAAGGTAAACAAAGAATCTTGATTCCTAAGAATCGTAACAAAACAAAATATTTAATTTCTCGTATACCTTATCTTGAATGATAACAATGTTTATAACTTGTGCAGTGGGTGCCACAAGAAGCTCTCTCTGCGCCCATAACCTCTGCATCTTACTCATGCAACAGCCAATTGGTTTATGCATCATTTGCCGATGGAAACATTGCAGTATTTGATGCAGAATCCTTGAGACTCAGATGTCGCATTTCTCCATCAGCTTACATGCCTCAACCAACACCTAACAGGTACCTATTTCCTTACAAACTTCACATAATTAGACCAATATATTTTATGGGACTAATTGTTTCTTTCTTTCTTTTTTTCCTTGTGATAGTGCACCGATCATTCCACAGGTGATCACAGCTCATCCACAAGAACCAAATCAGTTAGCCGTTGGACTCTCTGATGGATCAGTCAAAGTGATTGAGCCGTCGGAATCTTCTAGAAGATGGGGCATGGGGGTTCCGGTTGCTGGAGATAAAGCAGGGCCCGAGAATGGACGACCATCGAGTTCATCTGCTGCTAATAACTCAAGTTCAGATCACATTCAAAGGTGAAAATAGTTGCTGTCAGTTAAGTTAGTTGACAGATTTTTTTTTATTTTGGATTGTAAAGTTGTGATAGGTTGTGCTGTGTTTTGTAAATGGGATATTCTTCTTAGGCGTAACGACACTTACTGTTTTTTTTTATTTGTCGGTGTTATAACAACAGCTTTCCTTTCAAAGGTAGCTTTTTAATGTATGAATTTGTCAAAAAAGTCTAAGACAAACGTGGCTTTGTCCAATTCCTAGATCCTAATATATGAAATTTCTATTGGTAAATTTTGCAAAATTAAAAAGCAAATAGACAAAATGTTTCCGATCGTACTTCTGTCGAAATGAACAATTTGGTCAAAATATTGGGAGATTGAACCGTTCTTTCGAGATCAAAAAAGAATAACATAAGTTTTTATAACTTATTAAAAGTGTAAGATCTGATTGGATAAACAAAATTTTGGGTAAAAGACACTTAAGAAGAAGCCATTAGTTTTCTCTTTTTCTTCTGATCCCTTCGCTGATCACGCCGACCTGAAAAATGCACAACACAGCAAAGATCGTAAACATCTGTTTTAAGTTTCAACTTAGTATATTACTGGGCACAAACACATATAAAAGCAAGTTATTATATATTTACCAATCTTCTCTTCCTTTCTTTTCTTCCTCAAGTTCGCTATATCACGCCTCTTATCTGCACTCTGACCTTTCATGTTCATCACCTAAACAAAGCAACAACATCATTAATCAGGTATGGTCATGCAAACTGGGAATTTAATTCATATCGTTCTCAAGGACTAGGAAAGATCGATCCTTGAAGAAAGACTATCCAAAAAACCGCACGTATTTCCAATAACTAAGGATCTGGAACCACTGGGGTCATCAGGGTCAAGCTGGAAGGTTATTTAGTACCTCTTTACCACCATCACGAAGGGCTTGAAGAGGTTCGATGCAGTTCTGGGCAACCACAACAAGCTTTCTTCTCTTTTTGTCTCCACCAGTTTGCATTTGTTGTTGCTTTTGATTGGTTAACTCTGCTAGCTGATTCTGCAAAAGAGGCGACATACCACGCTGGGACAAAAAAAAAACATCATAAATCTCTTGTGCAGTAGCATGTGACAAAAAAAAAGATGAGGAAAAAAAGTTTACCCCTGCAAAGTAACGGTCTGAAAATTTCTTCGGCTGCATGGGACGTGATAAGAGCGAGCTAAGTTCCTGCGGATGTGAATAATATTATTCGTTTCACGATTTTCTACGGGAAACTAATATTTCATGGTTCAGGAGAGCTTTTATTCTTAGTAGTTAGAAATGACCAAACCTCCTGCAACTTTTTAACTTGTGCTGAGGTGGCTTTTCTCTGCCTAACATTGTCCACTCTTTCCTCTTCACTTTCTTCCTCGTCTAATTCGAGCTCCATCAATTCAGCGTGTTTTTCAAGCCACGTTCTGTCTACTCTCTCCTGGATAGCAGATACCAACGACAAATTAATGACACTTCACAATGGGAAGAGTTCATAAAAGCATTCAGCTGAAGGCAGTGAGTTTGAACCTAGTACGAACATCACCAACTAAAAGATTTCACATAGGCCAGGGTTTCAATATTTCCAGATGCTTCATGAATTAAACACGGTAATAGAAACTTCGATTTTTATCCTACATTTTTTTCCAGATTTTCACACCCCGGTGCTATCCTATCAGAACAAAACCATAGGAAGAACATTCAGCATACTGACAGAAGAAATACCCGCGAGCCTTTCCGCTCAATCTGGTCTATTTGACGTGCTAGAGATAATCGCTTCCTCACAGCTGGCATATAAGAGTTATCCAAAGGGAATATCTTTACGCTTTCCTGTATGCACAAATAGAGGAACCTCAGCATGAAAGTGGCAAAACATGATGTAAAAAACCTTACTTTAGCATGACCCATTACAATTCTTTCTTTATGTAAAAACTAACTTTTGAAGATATCTAAAATTTAGTACCTTAGAGAATGACTTGCATAACGAGTAGAACTTTGATGTATCATTAGGCGCAATCAAAGCTATGCTGCATCCATCTTCAAATGCTCTAGCCGTCCTCCCGCTTCTATGTACATATACCTATATGGATTAAACGGCTAAGCGCTTGTAGAAATGTTATCAAAGAAAAACTAGAAAACGTAGAGTCAGTCTTAGCTAGCTTACTTCTGCCGAATGTGGAAGTTGGTAGTGAATAACAGTTCGGACATTCTTAATATCAATTCCCCTTGCTGCAACATCTGTTGCGACGAGAATTCCATTTTCGCTTGCACGGAAGCGGTCGATTGCCTGTGACAGATAAAGACATCAGAAAGGCAAAATGTGTGAGTCTCCGAAGCACCCTTGAACTCAAAATGTAAGAAAATGATACTTGAGGATTTTGGCAAAAGAGGAATAGAAAGTGGGACCTTCAACCGAGCACGCTGCTTCATATCTGAGTAGAGTTTGCAAACATCAATTCCAAGAATCTTTAAAAGCGCACAGATATGCCGCAAAGCTGCCACTGACGTACAGAAAACAATTGTCCGACCTTGTCCATGGACGCTCAGAATATAATACAAGTAAGCATCTTTTTCCTCCTCTTCGCACCTGCGGTTTAAAATAAGATATCAATACCAAGAAGCTAGACCACGAAACTAAGTACCATCGAAGATTTCTACATATTTTGCAAGAAAATAATGAGTAGATGCATGGTGTCCTCCAAGCAATAAAAACCTAACTTATTAAACGCTCTAATGAAAAGCTTCAGAGGGGACATGGGCAAAATATAGTACTTACTTGATAAAAGATTCTTCAATCTTTGGTGCCAAAATAGATGCAGTTGTCAGATCAATGATGGCAACATTTTCTCTTATTCCAGCTCGTTCAGATAAAACCTCAATAGAATTCACTTCACCAGACGATGACTGCTTTTTCGAGGAGCCACGCTTTAGCTTTTTACGGAAGTCAGAAGACAGTGCTATGGTAGCTGAGAAAACAAATGTTTGTCTTTTCTTCTTTGGGGCGTCGGAAACTATGTCACCACTCTGCGCAGTTTGCATTTTCCCTTCATTTGGTTTATCTGCTACTGGAAGCAAATCGATGATAGACTGCAGCTCCCGGAAATGCCCACTTTCAACCATGCGATCAGCCTCATCCAACACAAAGAAAGACAAGGAATGTAGCTGCCAAAGAGGATCAGAAAAAAAGACATAACCATTTAGATAGTGTCTAAGAATAGCTAAATTTTAGTAACAATCTACACATGCCTTACTTACGAGACATACTTACAAAATCAATGTTCAAGGAAACAGTGTAGATTACAAACTGAGTACTGCATTTAAGGAACCAACCAAATAACTACACCAGAATTGGTTTATGTAGGAGCACGATACTGGACATAAAAAAAGGCACAGGATGTTTTTAATCTAATCCACAATTATACATTACATACCTCTACAAGATGTTTTTCTCCGGCTGACATAAGTTCCCATAGCCTTCCTGGAGTTCCAACAACTATTTCTGGTTTTCCTTTCAGAAGTCTTTCCTGCTTTGCTGATGACATCCCACCAACAATAGGAACAACCCTGACGCCAAGATTTTTAGCAGCGTTCTTAAGATGATCTGTCACCTGGAATAACAGAAGGGTTGGAATTGTATTTTAGAACTCCTCATGCTCCAACCCACAAATGAAAAAAGAAGCATGTCAGGAAAAAGAAGAGAGAGTAATGTGATTATAGTTAAGGATACCTGTAGAGCAAGTTCCCTAGTTGGAGTGATGATAAGAGCTCGTAAATAGCCATCTGCAGAATATTTCTTCGCTTCCTCTCCCTTCAATGCATACAATTTACCAAGCTTTTCTCGCTCATCTAAGAGGCGTTGCAGTATGGGCAACCCAAAAGCAAGCGTCTTTCCAGACCCAGTCTCCGCAGCACCAATAACATCCTGTGGTGCAAATATGAACTATACATCAATAAAATGCAGGTTACTGATAGAAAATAAAGCGGGTCATCTAACCTTTCCCTGAAATGCTGCTACGGAAAAACAAGCCTTCTGAATTTCTGTTGGCTCCTTGAATCCAAGGTGGTATATTGACTTCATGAGTAGTGGATGAAGTCTCATCAAACTCCATGCACTAAACTCCGGGGGAATCTCTTGTTCGCCATCAAGCTCCTCTGGTTTGTTATCCTCATCACAGCTTACTGCTACAAAGGATGATATATTATTATAATATGACATACAGTGTAGTGACAAGAATTTGGTGACAGAATAAGAAGAAATAACAAGATATATAGAATATTGAAAAAAGAATATAGTGGGAAGATAGTCCGATGGATGCAAATCAATTGTTAAGCTTAAAAAGAAAAGAAGAAATTTTTGACTTTCAACAGGGTGTAAAATGGAGAAAGTTCGATAGAACCGGTTTTTAAGCAAATCAAAGCTACCCACACAGAGTTATAATTTATGGTACCAGTGAAAGACCATTAATCCATACTAACGGGATCCCTTTCAAATCTTAATATCCCTAAGAAAATCTGTCATATAGCAACTACCGAGTAATGATAACCTCTTTGGCACCAAAAATATTAAGACAAAAGAGTACATGAAGCACTAACCAGCAGAAGAAGCCTGATCCTTTTTGGCCTCCTTGGCCTTCTTCTTCTTCTCTTTAGTTTTCTTCTCTTCTATCTTACGACTCTTCAAACCATCCTTGCCTTTCCTTTCTTCTCCTTCTTCTTCTTCGTCTTCTTTTTCTTGTTTGCCTTTAACTATCTCATCTACAGCCTCTTCATCCTGATCCTTTTCGGCCTCCTTAGCCTTTTTCTTTTTCTCCTTCTTCTTCTTCTTCCTTTTTGTTTTATTCTCTTCTATCTTACGACTCTTCAAATCATCCTTGCTTTTGCCTTCTTCTTCTTCGTCTTCTGTTTCTTGTTCGCCTTCAACTACCTCATCTACAGCCTCTTTGTTACCATCATTGTTTTCTCGAGCTTGTTTCTTCGACTTCAACCCTTTCTCTGTTTTTCCACTTTCAACCGTAGGAAAAGCCGCCAGATTGTAATCAGCTTCATCAATTTCTTCAAGTGAAAGAAAACCTGCCCAGACAATGTATAAAATTTCAGTCTTTCAGTGAACTAACAAGGTGAATATGAGATTACATGTTAAATTTCAAGAACAAGAAAAAACTTAAAAGCAAAGCTACCTAAAAACTCTGACTTGCACAAATTTCAAACAAGAGAAACACCCAAATTCATTTACAGAGGAGAAACACTTCAAAAGAACCACAAAAATTTTACCTCCGTCCAGCTCAGCTGAACCAGCAAAGAGAGTGGAGAAGGTTTCGCCATCTTCGTCTTCTCCGATAGGTATAGAAGTGCTCCAGGGAAGTGAATCCATGAGCTCGACCTCTTCCTCTCGCTTTCTCTTATGATTTCTCTTGTTGTTCTTCTTCGTCGACATCGATGATGATTCTCCGCTTCCGGCAGCCATGCTAGCCATTCTCAAAAAAAGTTTTAAAAGAGATTTGAGAATCTTTGGCCTCGAGTCGAGGCGTCTCGTTGGCAAAGAGAGAGATAAATTCTGTAGAAAATAGTTCAGGATTTTGATAAACCCTAAATCATCAGAACGATGCTGTAGTCTAATTAAACCGCAATTCGGTTAACTCCAATTAGTTTAAACCGAATAATTTTGGTTCGGACCGACCCGGGTCACTTGTTAGAAATATACTCCCCATATATATACAGTATATTTGTTCTATAGGTTATGGATGAACATCATTTATGTACAAGTATAAAGTTAAAATTTTATAGAACCTTCTTTGTCGGTAAACATTCTGGTTTTGATTAAAAATGACGGTTTCATACGATCAAAAACAACGGTGCTAAAGGGGAAACGTACCCCAAGAACACAAACATGGAAAATGAACACATGGAATCGAGTTTTAAACAGAAATGTGACCTCCGAACTTATGTTTGAAGTTTAAATAAATGAAATATGGAATCGAGATTTAAACATTAAATATTTTAAAAGTTATGTTATCATGTTTGAGAGGAAAAAAAAAAATACTATGGTGGTTTAAGACTGAATATATTTTTGTTATCCATATTATTGCGCGCTTTTAGCTGTCATAATTGAGTGACAACTGATTTTAGCATTAGCATGCAACTGGAGCATTGATTACTGATTAGTGCTAATATAAAAAGTATTCCGAACTATTTTGACTCTCGTTATCAAATCACACATTTTCTTATAGAAGAAATATGTAATTATCATGGATGCTGGAGCTGACCGTAATCTATGGCTCGTCCCATGGCTTGAAACTTGATATGTTTCAACATGAAAAGTAGTAATTTATTAGTATATAATATAGCGATCACGACGAATAAAACAAAAGACTTGAGAAGGAAGGTAAGTGTGAAAATTATAAGGAGCTAGTGGGGTCTCCAACGCAACCACCAAAGGGATCCTAAGAAATTCCAAAACAGAATCCAACTTTCAACATATCTACAGCTAATCTCTTACCGATCTCCTTCTTCGATTTATTACAAGGAAGTAGGAACTACATTTCTTTTCTTGGCAAGGACGAGAGTAAGTAAGGCCGTTCATCGTGTGTTAGAATATCGTAGTCATCTTTTAAAATAAAAAACAGTTGAACTAACTATCATGTTCGTTTTGATATTTTGAATTAGTTTGGTTGACCAAATAATAATTACGTTTACTTCGGTGTGTGTCAAAATCCTCTGGTTAAGTATTTATGTTGGTGTTGTATCAGATCGAACGCTTTTCATAAACTGTTTAGTTTTCAAAAAAAAATTGTTCACATTTATTCATGAATTTTATTTTCAGAAAACACACATAAACTTATGATATACATGGAATAGTGGATGTGATAGCTTAATTAGTTTTATTTGAGTGAAGTAGTCGTGGGAAGTATTATTGGACTAGAGATTGTTTTTATGAAATTTAGACAGCTAAGGTTACGTACAAGAAGGCAAAAAGAATGATAAAATTAATAGATAATACTACATAGGAAAATAAAATACGAATTGCTAATGAGTAATTAAATAGTTTTTGGAACTTATTGATCACGGGAAATCACCTGGCATAATTATTGAGGCCACACGACTTAAATTATAAAGATAATCATTTTGTTTCTTAGATATTGACATAAGTATATAACCCGACATATGTATATGACCCGCCTCGTTTCATTAGATTCCAACAAATATGAGAGAGACCATATATGTAACTACTTACAAAGTGATAACTTATACTAATACGAGGAAGCTACTGAACCTAAACTTATAAATCTACTTGGTTAAAATTTGTATATCACTAATTATCGTAAACGTCAAGACCATGATCCTTAATTTCCCAATAAGCGAGCGATATATACATTTTTACCTAAGAATTTCAAGAAAAGATCACAGACTAAATATTGAGTGACTTCCCTTAGATGGAGCTAACGGTGGAATAGAGACCTCCATGCTTGCCCGTGTCTTTGACAGCTGACGCTGGTAATACTGTTTCGCATAGCCTTGTCAATATTTACGGATAAGCTGGGAGTCGAGTCTGTGTTATTTCTAAACATATATGGTAAGTGCTAGTTTGGAAAGTCATCTTGAATCTTGATGAACAAATACGATAATGAAAACAGTAAGAACTGGCAGAGAAACGGCGAAGAATATCAGTCCATTCGAGGTGACGGCTGAGAAATGTCCACACGTCCCAAAAGGAGCGACTATATATGAAGCATTTTTGTTCAATTAAAAAAAAGTCACACTTTCACCCATCTGTGAGAATCGCCCAATTTTCAACTGCTAAAAACGTTATCGTACAAAAAATAGCATTTTGGATATTTTCATATTCATGATTACTATAACTATTATAATCATTAGTGTATCGTAACTTACAACAGTATTTTATAGTCAACAGAGGAAAAAATCAAATCATATCTTAGTAATTTCCACAATCACAAATAATTAATGTAATTTTTCTCCTCATTAATTTAGTCTTTTACATTAGAGACCTCAATTTTTATTTGTTCTAAAAAGAAGAAAAAAAAAGTACGTTGTGTTTGATTTAATACTATATAAAACTACAAATGTATAAATATTTACAAATAAAAATAAAAATGGGTGAGGAGATTTAAATGTATAGAAACAGCATTTAGCTTTGGTCCGGTGGTAATTCCTAAGTAGGATAGTCCTGGTCCTGGGTTCAAATTCCCTTATCCATATAATCGCGTTTTAAATTAAAAATATTTCTAAACACATATCCGAATACAAAGTTTTGTGGGGATGTTCACGGTAAAAAAAAAAAAAAAAAATCCTTTCAAGCCAGGCTGGCACTTCCCTCCGATGATTGCTTGTGGGGTCTCCATTCTCTTCACTGTCTAAGCACATGCGCTACTGCTTACGTGTCCTCTTCTCATTTACACTTAATCGCATGTATATTATTTTTAATAATTTTAAATATATAAACCTACCTGTTCTTCTTCTTTATACAGCATAAAACAAATTTGATTAGCCAGCCCACATCTCACATTTGCGAAAACAAAAATGTACTATAATGCATTGTTAAGACTTAAGAGAAATAAACAAACACTTTAATAGTACTTGCCTGTGTAATTTTTTTGTTTGGACCAAGTATTGTACTTACTCTTACGTGAGTAATCTTGAGAAGTTATATTATTAAGGGTTTCGTATTTTTGGTGGTAGATTAATATACGACTTCGTAATCCATCACTTATCCGCCGGCTGGAAAACTCTGCGATTATTATAATCACTTTTGGCACAATTGTATATTACTTACTTTTGTTGTTTTTTTAAACAGTAAATCCCAAACGGCTGCTTGCTCAAATCAAAACAGACCACATGAACTCCATGTGTCATTTTAACACATCATATTCTTCTTCTCTCTTGTCTCTCTCTATCTTCAGATTATATCAATACAAATATCTATCTCATTTTAGTTATCTTATAATTACTTAATTGGTTTACCTCCCCCAAAAAACTCTACACCTATATAAATGCCCGTCCGTTAACAAAAAAAAAAAAAAAAAACCGTCCGAGTAAAAAAAAAATTAAGAAGAAGTGGAAGAGAAGATAACAGTCCGTACTCATTATTTTGATTTCTTAGCATTTTGTTAGTTGTATAGCCAGAGCAATATCGAGGTCACTAAGACAAAATCAGTAACGGTACATACACAGTTATACTAACAGTTACTAATTTTCAACTAGTTTTAGACATTCATAACTTAAACTAGTAGTGTCGGCAAGCTATGTTGCTCCAGTCGTTCCTACAAGACATAAACTTAGGACATTGACGAAATTACATGAGTAATTAATTAAATTATAACAATTAGGATGACAGTTGGTGAATAAAAACAGATACGAGACAAAATCAGTGTGAAGCATAATAATAAGAAGATAAGTTATAACAAGAATGTAGATTCTTTTTTTTTAAATGGAATATTGTTTTTATTGACAAGTGATAAAGTCTCCTAAAAACGACTGAATTAGCTTTTAATGGCACGGAATGAATGAGATATTAGAGGTGTAATTGAGATCATCTTTAATTAAAAAGATTGTTGTATCTTTTCAAAAGCCATATCTTAGTTTGAATTTTTGACATCCTAAGTTTTAGCAGTGAATACTCACATGTCACATTGATTGAAAATTATTTAGGGGAAGAAGGCTGAAATATCGCTCCAAAAGATCTTAGTGAATTATATTGTCTGGTCCTTTTATGTAAATTTAATGTTAATCATAATATACGCGGATCAAACAAACCAATAATAATGATTAATATTAGTAGCAATTCCAACAAACAGTGTGGTAAAACAAAATAATAACATGTACTTGCTGCTTCGGACTCTCTTGCTTCTCTTCTCTTCATCTCCTCTCTGTCTTTTTTTCTTTTCTTTCTGTCTCGCGACTTTTCTCCTTCCTCAGGAACTTAAGTTTCTGAGTTCATGAAGATGCCAGTAAGTACGTTTCTCCCTCTCTTTTTTTCCTTGTATTGAAACTTTTGTTTTTTTTTTTTTTTTTTTGTTCTTATGGGTTTGTCTTAATTGCCGTCTGCAATTCCAAAGTATGAAACTTTATAGACGAATCTCTTATGGGTTCTAGTTTTAGTTCTATGTTTTCTCACACTTGTTTCGCTGAATCTCTGTTGTTTTGTCCAACTCTGGTAAATAAAATCAGAGGAAATCTAGATAACTTTTGGGTTTCTTCACTTAGTTCGGTGTTATTCGTTTTTGTAATTGGGACCTCCCAGCATCCAAATCTGGAACTCTTGTCTAGATTTTCGATTCTGTTTCATCTGTTTTCAACTCAAGGTTCCATTTTCTCTCTTCTTGGATCTTCATATCAGTGATTTCAGATTGATGTTTTATTATGCCGATGCTTCTGTTTGTTACCATAGCTTGGAAGTTTATGATTCTGTGGCTGTTTCCAAGATTTTCAGTGGAAAACCATAAATCAGATTACCCGGATTTTCTCCATGGAATACGAGAATTTTCAGATAAAAGTTTTAGTTTTTCGGAATTTCCTAAGTTGAAGACGAGAAAGGAAAAGTTTCTAGGCTTTTAGCTTTCCCGGAGTTTTCTCCCAAAACGTTTTTACTTCCCCTCACTGATGATTCTCGTTTAGCCTTTCACATCCAAGTTTTGCTAAATTCATTGAAAATTTTCATTAGTTTTCAATTAAAATCGAATTTTGAACTGATCATCTCAAGTTGTAATGCAGGTGGCATTGGTCTGGCTACTGGCATTCACCAATCTATTGATCAGAGGAGAAAGCAATAATGCCATATGCAAGAAGACTTTCAACTTAGACCCGAGACCTCACAGCGTCTCCATCCTCGAGTTTGGAGCGGTTGGAGACGGCAAGACGCTGAACACACTTGCTTTTCAAAACGCTATCTTCTATCTCAAGTCCTTTGCAGATAAAGGCGGTGCTCAGCTCTATGTTCCACCAGGGAAATGGCTCACAGGAAGCTTCAATCTCACGAGCCATCTTACACTCTTCTTGGAGAAAGGAGCAACTATTCTTGCATCATCGGTATGATCTCTCAAATCCAATCCCTTTAAAAGAGTGTTTGGCTGCGTTTCTTGCGTTTGCTATGATGATCACATTTACTTTTGTTTTGCTAGGATCCATCGCATTGGGACATTGTAAGTCCTCTACCATCCTATGGTCGTGGAGTTGAACTTCCCGGAAAGCGTTACAGAAGTTTGATCAACGGAGACAATCTACTAGACGTAGTCATCACCGGTAACAACAATAAGCTCATACCACACCATAACCTACAAGTTTCTGGCTACACGACATTGCGAACTTGAGGCTTCTTTGTTTTGTTGTTGTCAGGCGATAACGGGACATTTGACGGTCAGGGTGCAGCTTGGTGGGAGTGGCTCGAGTCAGGAACCTTGAACTATAGCCGACCTCATATCATCGAATTCGTCTCCTCCAAACACATCCTTATATCGAATCTAACCTTCTTAAACGCACCCTCTGTCAATATTCACCCTGTTTATTGCAGTCAGGTTCATATCCGAAAAGTTTTGATCGAAACATCCGTTGATTCTCCTTACGTTCTCGGAGTTGTCCCTGGTAACACAAAAAAAATAAAAACCATTCCTTTTACATCATTATACTCCTCCTCAATGTTAACCGTTCGATCAAACTCATTTTCTTTCTTTTTTCGGACAATTCTCAGATTCTTCGGACAATGTTTGTGTCGAGGACTCAACGATCAACGTTGGTCACGACGCGATCTCTCTCAAAAGTGGTTGGGACCAATACGGCATAAACTATGGTCGGCCAACCACCACTGTTCACATTCGTAACCTCAGCCTAAAATCTCCCACCGGCGCCGGAATCTCATTCGGCAGCGAGATGTCCGGCGGAATCTCTGACGTCACCGTCGAGCTACTCAGCATACGCAGCTCACACGTTGGCGTCGCCTTCAGAACCACCAGAGGCAGGGGAGGGTATATCCGTAACATCACAATCTCCGGCGTCGATTTCTCCGGCGTAGAAACGGCTATCGTCGCCGACGGACACACCGGATCGCATCCGGATGATAAATTCGACCGGGACGCAATTCCTGTCGTGACGCATATCGTCATGCGGAATTTCACCGGAGAGGGTATAGGATTGGCCGGGAATTTCAGCGGAATCGGAGAATCACCGTTCACGTCGATCTGCCTCGCCGATGTTCATTTGAAAACGAGTTCAGAGTCTTGGATATGCTCCAACGTCTCTGGTTTCTCAGACGACGTATCGCCGGAGCCTTGTGAAGAACTCACGAGTTCTCCGTCGTCGTGCTTCGCCGGTGGTAGCATATACGGTGGAGATACGGTGGCTCAGTCCTACTACACATGGTAATTATAGTAAATTAATAAATGGTGATGAAGAAGAAGAAGAGTGAAGTGGGGGTTTGGTTTACGATACGATTGAATTTTCAATTTTTTTGTCAATAAGTCATAAAATTTGGTGTCAAAGGAAGGGAAAAAAAGAAATTACGGTTTTAAAGACTGGTGAGTTTTCAAGAAACAAAGCTTCTGTTGTATTATGTACAGCTTCAATTTCTTTATTCTTGGTGTAATAAGATTCATGTTCTTTGTTGTTCTGTTCAAGTAAGGAAAGAAAAAAAACAAGTGAGAAGATCAAGTTTTTGGATAACCATTTGTAATGGGCATGCCAAAATCAAGCCCTTTTCTGCATTGGGTATTATTAGATAAACTAAAGTTTGTTTCCTAGGGATCCTTGTAGAATTTGCTTAATAATATATTGAGAAATGAAGCTGGATTCCAGATTTTCTGGGATATCTCTATGATTTTCATGAGTAGATGATTACACTTGCTTAGTGGCTTATAGACTTGTAGTTACCTTTTCCGGATGCTCATTGTCTAGTTATTATAGATGCTGAGACTTCAACTTGTTCTCTACTATGTTTCTTTGGTATGATATATTTTGTTGGGATGACCAAAACACAACGATCTAGAGTCAAGTATCATTGCCTTGTTACAGAATCCACTTTTTGTTTACATTTAGGAAATATGTATGTACCCAAAGAATTGTGCTCTTTTTTCTTCTGTCTCTTGGTTTCTCTAGTTCAAGTGTGTTTTTTTAAAAATTACATAAGAGAGGAATATATTTTGTTTTGTGTGTAATATAGCAGGAACTGTAAACAGTGCTATAGTTTCGATGTTTCATACAGTGTGGTATTGAGGTCGTTTTGTAGTAATATAATGAACATGGGGTGTTCATGTTTTGATACCCTTAAGATGTGAAGCCAATGTTTGGCCCGGTCTTGTTGAGTGGTCGGCAGAAGAGAAAGTTAAGGACACGTGGCGCAATGTTGCTGCGGTTCATTTGTCATTTCTCTTAATTTATGGCCACCATCATCTTTTCTACTCGCAAGTCGACACGTGGATTAACTCTTGGCCGTTGACCTCCACTGTTCCCCCATTCTTATTTTTTGCTTCCACTCAAAATGTATTCACTTCTGTTTAAACCGAATACAATAAGAGAGCGTATACATACATAATGAAAGAGTATTTCTTTTAATTTCTCTTTGTTCATATTTTTAGTGGAACTGATATAATTTTTGTACGTTTTTAAATCCTGAACCAATAGTCAAATGTTCAATGAATATGTAAAGTACAGTAATATCCAATCAATCTTATTTTATTTTATTTCCTCTAAACCACCCATGTGATTTTTAGGATTTTTAATTATTATCGTTTTATTCCATAGCAACCTTTTCAACCTATTCATTCATTCATTGTACTTACTACTTAGCCACCTGAAAAACGGTCAATTCGAAACAAGAACAAAAAAAAAGTGATCAGTTTCTAACTAATTAAGTGTGTTTAGTGATTGATTCAATAAGAATATAAGATATACAAACAAAATTCTTACCAAAAGTTATGGGCACATGGTAGGATACCCAGCAAGAAGATGAATACAAACATAACTCCTCTCTTTTCTTGTTTGTTTTAAACATATCTTCACTTTCTTGCGCATGAAATATTATTTGGTTATACGAATTTGTTTTTTATTTTTACGATTTTAGTTTTTAGTTTTGAATTCCACATGGATTAATTATTAAGACGGAAAAGAACTATATTCTACTGGCACGCATAAAGTATTTCACTACTTACTATATGATCCTTAGTTTTCCTTAGTCGTATTCTAACACCCACAAAAATAAACAACAAAAAAACAATAATGTATAGGTTTACACCATTACCTATAAAAAACAAGAATTTAATTTTTCACCATTAGATACTTAAATACTTAAAAAATGTTTTATTATTATTATTATATTTTTAATTATTTTTATCAGAAGCTATCCCATTTCGAAACATTCCCATACAAGGAACTTGGTTAAAAATTTCCTCGTATATCAGCATCATAAAGTCACACTTTTAACACATTTTATTATCCAATTTGCTGGGTGCATTTTTCACCAAGAACTCTAACATGTTAAAAAAAAAAACCTAAACTCCAACAACTTTTCAGTCGTTTAAATAATATACACAATCCCTTAAAGTAAAGCTATATAGTAATATAGGTGTCAGGTGTGCCAATTTTAGTGATTTTAAAGGTTTTGGTTCTGCATAAAAAAGCTGAAACATTTGTGTTCTACAAAACCTTTTGTGGACCTTTAGTTGATATTTGAAATATAAATAAATATGCCTGTCTAAGCAAATATTAAAGTACAATATATTATATATATATATACATTAAAAAACGCAAAAAGCTCATCGTAAGAGTAAAAACTTTTTACAGAGAATATACGGGTTCAGCGGGTCTCATTCTTTATTGGGACCTTCTCTATTTTTGAGCTTTTGGCGTAGTTAATTTTAATCATGCATTCTTGTTTGATATATATATATATATATTATGACTATATAAGCAAAGTAAAGAAAGCGACTGAAAGGTTCTATGACCAACATGAATCACTACGCATAAATTTACTCTTTTTAAAAAAAAGTGAGATTTTACAAAATTAGTATATCGCTCCTTGAAATATATTCAAAATTTGCTACGATCGTGGTAGTAACTAGTAATAAGTAGTTTTTGCTGATAAAAAGTTGAATCCTTTTATTTTTAAAAAATCTTTTAATGTTATTTTTGGTTCCAACTTGCTAGTGTGTAAAAAAAAAAAAAAAAAAAAAAAAAACTTGCTCCTTGAAATAGTATATCGCTCCTTGAAATATATTCAAAATTTGCTACGATCGTGGTAGTAACTAGTAATAAGTAGTTTTTGCTGATAAAAAGTTGAATCCTTTTATTTTTTTTAAATCTTTTAATGTTATTTTTTAAAACTCTTTTAATGTTATTTTTGGTTCCAACTTGCTAGTGTGTTGAAAGAGTGGGAAACAAATGAAGACAACGATAGATGGAGAGGTCGATGCAAAAGGTGCGAGTGATCTTATCCATTTCACGTGGACACGTGTCGCGATGGGGAAAGCTTCTCAGCAACGTGATATTTTTGTTTTCCTATCACTAAATACTTTTTCATTTATTGCTCTCTAAGTTTATTCTTAAAATCAGTTTTTCCAACATGTATTTTCCATTAATATACTTCTTAAGTGTCATTCTCACATATTTCACACAAATTAAAAAATTAATAAAATATACAAATATACCTTTAATTAATATATTTTTATAACATTTAATTATAAAGACTATTATCTTTAAATAAGGGATAAAACAAGAAATAAGAGTAAAAAGTTACATTGAAAATGCAGAATAATACTCTTTTTGAAACAAAAAATATAATTTAAAACGACACTTATTATGAAATAGAGGGAGTAGTTAATAGTACATAAAAAAATCGAAATGATTTATTGGGTTTATATTGGTTCGTGTTGTTGCGTTTTGTTTTGCTTTTTTTTTTGTGTAATGATGTTCCAATATTTTTCGACCTATAACTTGGCCATGGATTAAGGTGCAAAAAAAAAAAAACTTGGCCTCGGGATTAACTAGTGATAAATACATCTCTCGAGTCTCTCCCAAATAAAATTTGAAAACTTCCTCTGAAGAGAGCACTACAACTACTTGACTACTGACATTTGCTATTTGGCCTGTTGTTGAGTTTTTCTAAATTCCACTAACAGTAATTAACCCATTTGATATCACGTGTTAAAGTGCTAATGCAATGTCTATCTGGATGCATATGAAAATGAGTCGTATGACACACTTAAAAGTTAAAACTGTCATTAATTATAAAATATGAGACATGTCAACAGTGCTGAACACTTGACTAAGCCAAGTATACACTAAACGCTGACAATTTATAAATATTTACGTTTGAAGTTGACAAACTTACATATTTATAATTGGAAACGACCATTCTTTGAGCATAGGAAAATACGAACTATGCATTCTTTTGCGTACTATGATATGCTTATCGGGCAGTTGACGAACATGACAAACAAAGTACGTGAAAACACTCGAGTGCATCATATATGTTCAACACACTGGATTTTTACCAACCCGACTATAATATGTGCTTGATACAATGTTTTAGTACGAGCTAGATAATTTAAATAAAAATATCTCTCATCAAGTTATGAGATTTTCTTAGAAATTTAATCCTTTTTTTTTTCTGAATAGCCTTCTCTAGTGTTCGTTTCCTAGTCTCATTATTTTTTTCTGACCATCTTTCAAACATCTTTTCCGTTTAAACTTATATTTTGTTACCCTTTTCGTTAAAGTGATATTTCAATCAACTAATACTCAATATATTCATCATTTTAAATTTGGAGTCACTTAATTAGCCTCTTCCACTTTTTTTTTTTGCTCAACTCTTTACAGTCAAATACCGCATCAATCTATAAAAAAAATTATACTGGCTTGAATGTTAAAGAGTTTATCAAACGTTATGATTCTTATATGGGGTTGTTGTTTTATTTTTTCCTTTTAACGTGTACGTTGTTTTCTAAAGGAAATTTGTCTCTAAGAAACGATTTTTTTTAGAAAGATAGAATAGTTAACGGTTTATGCTGTTTTGTAATACATAGCAGCACATTCGCTTGTCAAATGTAATTTGTAATACTAGATTTTTAAGAATGTTTCGGGGTAATAGGCCGTTGGTGGGTAGCATATGATGTTACTAATCATTCAAATGAACTTATTTGAATTATTTGTTTGTTTATTCAGTATTCAACTTTTCATCAGATGTGTATATGTTATATTTATATTTTATATCATATATAAATTGTAATTGTATATATATATATGTTAACGATTTTTATAAATCAAAGTTAAATATTTTATTAGGAAGATTGGTGACATATCTATTTTTCCATTTAACAGTTTACGTCCTTGGGATTACAAGTAATTTGGATTAAACAAGGAAATAATATGTGGGATACGATACATTTTATGTATATAGCATAGATCAACATGCACGTGATGATAGAGATTGCTTAGGTGTATTTTGGTACCTTAATCATATGCTTGAATGTGCGTCGACGTATTATTTTGTTTTGTTTAATGATGCTTATATGTGTGTTTACCATTTAGTTTAATACATGTAGGCCCATAAGACAGAAGGCATGGTTTCTCAATTACAGAAAACCAGAAGGATAATTTAGTAAAGTCCTTCAACCCCGCTAAGTAAAAATAAGAAAATAAAATATATGCAGCTCTTTGTTAAAGTAATTTCCTTTTGTGAATTGGTAGAAATTGGACAGTAAAATAAAATATTAGGCAATAACACTAATCATGAAGATGTGTTAAGGTTGGGTTTACAACTTTAGATAATGAGTTAATTAATTTTTCCTTGCATGAGCTGGATCCACGCATCAAGGGTATTTGGACCCACTTTCTTCCAATTATATCATTTCGTTGCCTTAGATTTTCAACAAACTTATTATTAAACCCCTATATTTCACTACTTTACAAAATCACCATGAATTTGAGCTAAATTCGGAAGCACATCCAAATGTCTCATTATCTTCTCTACAAAAAAGGTTTAATAGATGGAAATTCCTGAATTACAACCGATCAACAATTAAAAAAATTTCTATAGCGTCAAACAAAATAATAAATCTATAAACTGTGGATCAAAAGTGAAAAGTTCATAGACTAATGGTCGAAATGTAGAGAAAGCTGGGAAATAAAGGGTATGTCAGGTCCGCATATACATAAAGACATGTACTGTATAGGTATATATGATTATGTAAGACACCACGATTTTTTATTTTTATTTATTTTGGTTTGGGTTCATCTTTCAATTTTAATAATTAGCTTTACTCATTAAAATAACAGAGAAATAGAGCTCTAAGGTGAGACAAGCCATGTCTTCTTCAACTCCCTAAGTCTCATCTCACCATCTCTCTCTCTACACTTTTTTTTCTTTTTTTTTTTACCCCCAAATTCATATTCACTAACTCCAATCCCATTCTTTTATTCTCGATTGATTTTTGGGTTTCTACTCAAACTTCTTCAATCGAATAAAAATCGCGTCAATTTCCCCTCTTTCTGAGTATATATTCCCTTGCTCAAAGCCTTTTGCTTTTTTTCTTTTCTTCTCTTCTCGAGATGATGAATCCGAGTCACGGAAGAGGACTCGGATCGACTGGTGGGTCGAGTTCCGGTAGAAATCAAGGCGGTGAGAGCGTCGTCGAGATGTTTCCGTCCGGTCTTCGTGTTCTTGTCGTTGACGATGACCCGACATGTCTTATGATCTTAGAGAGGATGCTCAGGACTTGTCTATACGAAGGTTCGAATCAAAAAACAAGATCTCTTTTCTCTGTTTTTCTTTTTGTTTGTTTGGGTTGGTTTAGTAATTTTTTTGATTTTTAATTTCACGAGTTTATGGTCTCTTTCCCAATGATGGGTTTTAGTTTTGGTTTATTGTGGTCCATTCTCGCAAAATTATGTTATTTTGAGGAATAATTATGGTTTTGATATCGGTGGTTGACTAACTTTGCTCTGCCAAAAATAGAAAGAAGTGGAGCAAATTTGTTACTTTTTAAGATTCACATGTTAATCCTCAGTTTCTTGATCTGGTTAAAGATTCACATGTTACCTCAGTTTTGGAGACTAACTTTTTAGCAAACCTGAGATCCATTGTGTACACTAATTTTATGGGTTTAAAAGGATTCCAAATCTGAGTCTCTGATGTTGTTGAGCTTTGACTGGAGTTTGGTTAAATGTCAATCCAAGAGATCCTTGTTAGGACTCAAAACAGTTTTGTCTTTCTTTGATCTGTGTTTGGTTGTTATAAATCTCTGTTTTTTTTCTCTTAAAATATCTTTTGATGAAACCTCTGGCTAATTTGTCTTTTTGGCTTTTCTTTTGTTTTCTCTCTGACATTCAGTAACGAAATGCAACAGAGCAGAGATGGCATTGTCTCTGCTCCGGAAGAACAAACATGGATTCGATATAGTAATCAGCGATGTCCATATGCCTGACATGGACGGCTTCAAGCTCCTTGAACATGTTGGTCTAGAGATGGACTTACCTGTTATCAGTACGTCACATATCTATCTACCTCTGTTATTCCAATCAGAAAGTTCGAATCTTTTTGTATAGATTCTCGAACAATCATGGTTTCAGCCACTGATCTTGCTTTTGTTAATTCAGTGATGTCTGCGGATGATTCAAAGAGTGTTGTTCTAAAGGGAGTGACGCACGGTGCGGTTGACTACCTTATCAAACCAGTGCGTATGGAGGCGCTTAAGAACATATGGCAGCATGTGGTTCGGAAGAGGAGAAGCGAATGGAGCGTACCTGAACATTCTGGGAGCGTTGAGGATACAGGCGAGAGACAGCAGCAGCAACAGAGAGGAGGAGGTGGTGCAGCTGTTTCCGGTGGGGAGGATGCAGCAGATGATAACTCTTCTTCGGTTAACGAAGGGAACAACTGGAGGAGCAGCAGCAGCTCACGGAAGCGGAAAGACGAGGAAGGAGAAGAGCAAGGTGAAGATAAAGACGAAGATGCTTCGAATCTGAAGAAACCTCGTGTTGTCTGGTCTGTTGAGTTGCATCAACAGTTTGTTGCTGCTGTTAATCAGCTCGGCGTTGAAAGTAAGACTAGAAAGCTTCTCACATTTTCCTTTTTGCGTTTTGTGATTTTTGTTTTTTGGGTCTAATTGATCTTCTATGGAAACAGAGGCGGTTCCTAAGAAGATCTTGGAGCTGATGAATGTTCCTGGACTTACCCGAGAAAACGTAGCAAGCCACCTCCAGGTATATAAACCTTATACCAACATACCTGAAATGAGCAGGTGATTTTCATATAGTTCTTACCGGGCAATGTGTTGTTATTTGCAGAAATATCGGATATATGTG